AACAAAGTTGAACAGGGTTCGCTTGGCAGAGGCTGTTTATTTGTGTCCCATCTCCGGACGTAACAGAGAAAAAGGGCGAATTTTAACAAGGCCCCGCCCATGTTTTTCAAATCCCAACCGTCTTTACGGAGAGACGTAAAACCGCTCACTGACGTCACACTTTCAGGGACAGACAGTAACAATAGCGGACATGTTTTCAGAGAACATATGGATAGCTTTCATAAAGATTACCTGGATTAAATGGATCTAAAAAAAAAGTGTAAAAACAGAGAAAATACATTTTCAATAACAAGATTATAAGTAATTCAAAAAAGATGCCCAGGGGCAAAGGTCAGGCATTTGCAAAGGATTCAAGGAATCTGCTGGTAAATACAGACAATGATCACACTCCAGTTTTAGTACTGCTGGATCTAAGTGCTGCGTTTGACACTGTGGATCACTGCATTTTATTGGATAGGCTTGAACATTTTTATTATTGTTCAATAATTGGTTTTTATTATTATTATTATTACATACTTATTTATACAGACCGTGAGTGGAATGTTAGCTGATAAGTTGCATATTCCTCTCAGAAGTGTCACACCTATACGAAATAAACTGAACTGAACTTCAGGTAGTTACATTTGAGGTATTTTCTGATCTTGGTTGGTGTCAGGCATATCAGTTGACTTGTCAGCCTTATAAATATGAACATAATTTAGCAATCGTACATGTTAAATAAAATGTATGGTTCACATAAAAATAATTACAGACACAATTCCCAAAAAATGATCTGAACAGCATCACATGCTCATATGAACCATGAAGGTTTACCTTTTTGCACTTTTTGAAATTCTATTTCATTTTGGGAACCAGTGCTTATTCCTGCTCTTCTATATCACTGACATAAAACTACTGCTATTATGGAGCAAAATTTAGCTCCATAATAGCATCGCTCAATGTCAGAATGTCAGAATGTCTACTGCCCACATGCGCTTCAAAAATCTGTAACTTAGATAAGCCTCAGTTCTTCAAACTATAACTGGCACAGCTGGATTTATTATTCACTGTTTGTCAGCGTGGTTCATAAATCTCTCACAAGAGGGCAGCAGTACATAAAACTCCAATCACCAGCAGCGCCCTGCATGGAGAC